GAATTTCAGCAAATAGATGGAGTCCAGAGTGTGAAACTGGGTAGCAGGGAGAGTGGACCTGGATGAAGAGGGGAGGCTGGAACAGAAGAAAGTGCAAGGCTGGATGTCAGAACTTCCAGTGTGCACATAGTTATTCAAATCCTGTAATATTCATGCAAAATATCTCAAGCAATTTTGAGCAATCACAATGAACTATAGATTAGCAAGTTACTTTTATGATGGGCTAATGCAAGTAACATGAAGGGTAAATTAAAAATGTTCACAAGATCCCATCCCATTGTAATTTAGTCATTTTTAGGCACCTAGCTTGAAGTTAGTTATTTTTATTCTGCACATAACTTGCTATAGACATTACTAGCCTTTTATAGTCTACACATGGGGTTACAATCAACTATTACTGCCCTTTGTCAAGAAGACCATTGCCTCTAAAAATAGCAGTTTTATTTATAATGTGTGCAGGTGTTCCTATGTTGCCAAGCAGTGATATTTTAAATTCATCTTTTTAAGAAAAATGTTTTGTGTATACACACGAAAGGATTCAAACACGATGAAGACTGTAGACAACAAGGTTTGACTAGTTACGGAGTGCCGAAGGTGACCCATGTCCTCCTCTGTGTATCAGCTGGGGGTTTACGAGTCTATATATCCTTTTCCAGGCATTCCTTACGCTATCTTCTTAACAGAAGCAAGTGATGCTCATTGCATATCCCTTCACATCATTGAGTATGATGTGAACATTTATAGAATAATTGCTGTTGTTATTGCTGAACATGTTACTTTTCTCATAGAAAACTAAGAAAATTTAACTTAAAATCAAAGTTTCAGCTTTTCTTAATTGTACTTGTGAATGTAGTACCCAGTGTCCAACTTCATAAATTTGCAAATACAAATATTTTCRTATGTTGTCTCAGTTACCGCATACTGGGCAGATTTCCAGTCAACCCTTGAAGAGGTAGCACAAAATATGTATGAGAAATCTTTTCACATTGAGAAAGGATAGGGCATGTTGAGAGTCTGTGTGTTTTTATCTTCATCCACCAGGTTCAGAACACAACACTTTTTTCTTGCAAAGCTTCATTTCCAAAGTGATTTGTTCCTGTCCCAAAAGTTAATATAAAAATTTGTGGGAGATTTCTCTGAGGTTGTGTTGGAAATGCATACTCAAATGCTCAAATTTTGCTCTTGTTTAGGATCCCATCTTGTTTTCTGGGACAGTGCAGTCCAATTTGGATCCACTTGGGAAACATTCTGACCTTGAACTGTGGGAGGCGCTGGAACTGTGTGACTTAAAAGACTTTGTTCAGTCACTCCCAAAGAAGCTGCTTCATGAGATTGCCGAAGGTGGTGAAAACCTCAGGTACAGCAACAAGCAAGTGCTCTTGCACTCTTTCCTGATAGTGATAACCTTCATCTTCATTGATAACTGTGCAATGTCCTCTGGCCAAAGCTAGGTGAGGAGTCAGAGAAATGGAGCCTCTGGCTTCAAAAGTCTAAATGGTGGTGAGTTTGTGAGGGGCCTCATGCGCTGGCGAATGATGGTGTTGCCTCATAAATAACTGCAAAGAATTACAAAGAGCTTGTTCCTTTGCCTTAMTTGCTTAAGCAAATCAGCTCAGTCTTTCTTCTAGAAATGGATACGCAGGGAAGGAGACACTTGGCATAGAGGACTCRGAACGCTAGGAGATGCACATACTCAAGCTTTCAGCAGCAAAAAGGCAGAACAGGATTTAACAGTGTAAGAACACTGTAGTGGTAATTACAAGAGTTTAAATAGAGCAGACTATGTGGAATATTAACTTGATTTTTTTAGGACAGACAATTTCCAGGAAACAGTTTCTAGGGGGCATGCACAAAAGTAGACGTTTATAAGAGTATTAAAACTCTGASCTTGAACATCCCATATTTAAGAAGTGCTTTGGCTATCAGTCCAGCCTATACAGAGTGAATATACAATTTGAGGGAAAGCCCAGATTTATGATACAAGATTCTGCAAGTATAAGTTGTTTTTTAAAAGTCACTTCTTAAGTATTACTGGTATGCTGAGCAAGAAGAAAGAAATCAAAACTTCCCAAGTGAGATGAACATATTTCATCCCTCATTTTCCATGTAAAAAGTGTGGGAAATGAAGACACAACAGATAAAACTCCCTCCTAATTTCAGTCTCACATCAACTCAAATGCCTGTGATTTAACAATGAAGAAAAAAAAATATTGTTCTCTCCTTCTTCAAACTGCCTGACGTGACCTTCTCAAATGTATTTTTTACAGTGTTGGGCAGAGGCAGCTGGTCTGTCTTGCCCGTGTTTTGCTGCGAAAAACAAAAATCCTGGTCTTAGATGAGGCGACAGCTTCTGTGGATACAGAAACAGATCACTTGGTGCAGTCYACCATCAGAAGAGAGTTTCACAACTGCACAATACTAACAATAGCCCACAGGTTACACACAATCATGGATTCAGAGAGGTAAGTTTTGATAGACTTTTTGAAAAATACATGGCTTCCTTTGGACACATGAGTTAAATACTGCTAATTTTTGTTTTATTTGTCAGTTCTTGTATAGAAGGGAATTAAGCCTTTCCTCCCTAATGYACAGTAAAACCATATAACTGACTAAAAAGGATAGACTACAGAATTTTCACCAACTGAGAAAAAAAAATCTGTTTTCACAAGGTTTTCTAAAAGTAGAAATTCCTAGCTTTATGAACAGATGCATTGTCTAATGCAAAGAGGTTTCTTCCAAATACGAGTTCTAGTTAACAGATACTGTTAACTAGGATAAAGTGGAGTGGAAAATATAGCTGAATGGCTCATTTGTTGTCTCATTTTTCTACTTTTTCATTGTAGAGTGCTTGTTCTGGACACAGGAAGAATTCTAGAATTTGATACACCCCATAATTTGTTGCAACAACAAGGTGCTTTTTCTGAAATGGCTGCGGAGGCTGGAGTAACAAAATGAAGCAATGTAATGAATGAATTCTTAATAAAGATGAGAACTCTTTATGCCTGTAAAAGCTCAGGGGCATGCAGTATTTCCTGATGTTATAAAACAGACCAGCTTCACTAAAAGCTCCTTCATTGCTATTTACTACAGCTAAAATTTGTATATAGTGATCAGGTTTCTTAACTTTATAAGTGATCAGGTTTCTTAACTTTATCAGTGATCAGGTTTCTTAACTTTATCTTTTTTATACAAAGCACTTTGATCATACTGGCAGTGGAATAATTAATGAAATAATGATCTTCAAGGCATTTTTTAAATGTTGTACTAGCAAATACACTACAAATCTTGYAATTTGTGCAAGTCACTAGTCTCTATCCTTGCTTTTAATTTTAAGAAGCACATAATTAATTTGCATGGACATTATGCTGGTTGATTTAGTTATAAAAAGTTTTATCATAAGCTTATAAAAAACAACAATGCTTCTTTTATTGACATGCAGGCGATATCATTTGGTGCAGAGTTTCAGGACATGCATCATCGCAGGTCTATTTTGGTGATACTGAGGGGGAAAAAAAAAATACTGACTCCCTAAAGCTAACTTACTTTTGCAATCACCAGGTTAAAAGGAAACTGAAAAACACCTCACTGACCATTACAAATCCAGACAGTGAAAAGATATTCAGAGTTACTTGTGGTTATTTTCTTGCTAGTAAATTTTAGTACAAAGCTTAGCCCACTAATTAGATCACAGAATCACAAAATTGGATTTAAATTAGTAAATTAACGTAGAAAGGTTGTTCACAGTTACTGACGGTGTCAGTTAAACATACATGCATACATATACATACACGTGTAGGCCACACTGGTTTCCATTTTTATTGCAGCTCCTGTGTCCCTTGAACTCCGCTCTCGGCTTCATGAGGGCACCTTCCCCTTCCCCTCAGCCTTCAGTGCCTGGGCAGGCTCCTCCGCAGCTCCCCAGCCCTGCCCCGCCAGCCAGCCCAGAGCCCGGGAGGTGCCAGGGGCAGCCCTCCCTGTCCCTCRCAGGGCCCAGCCAGGGCACGCAGGCCTCCAGCCTTGCCCCAGAGCAGCCAGCTGTGCTGCTCCCAGCTGGTGGCCTCACCTCTGCCTCTGCCCCTTCCTTTTCCCACCACAGCCCCTCAGGTGCCCCACACGTCAGTAACCCTAGGCCCAGCCCAGACCTCCCCTACCAGCCGCAGGCCTGGACAGAAGGCAGGAGGCCAGCAGCCCCTTCCTTGTTTGTGCCGCCCTCAGGAGGTCCTAGTCCTGCCTGSAGCCAGGAGCTGCTTGGGAAGCACCGCGGCTGCCACGTGCTGCAGCCTTCTCTTCTACGGGGGTCCAGGCAGAGGTGCTTCATGGAAATTCTAGATGGGTTTAAGATGAAAAATAATTACCCTGATGAAACTCCACCAGCTTTCAGGTCCTCTAGAACTTTTCTCTGCCTGAAACCTAAGGTACATAAGGGGAGCYACTTGCACCTGGAAGCAAGAGGGAACTTATTTCAGCTCCTGCTTGTCCCTCTGCCCCTCTCTGATGAGAAAGTCCCAGCCCCAGCTGTTTCTGACCAGGCATTCCTTGCTTTTCCCTGTACCAATACACAAGGTTTTTTTTTTGCTTTTTGAAGGCACTGTTCCAATAGTGCAGCTTGAAAGCACTATTGTCTCTGCCCCAGCTTTTCCTAATGCTGCCCTCTGCACCAATCCCTAGAAAAGAACTCACTCCAGGCAACAGCAGCACCTTGTCACATTGGGACATTACAACCTTGTTCTCTCAGCGCCCAGGTATTCAAGGAATTCCTTGAAGGAAAACAGGACTGGTTTCCTGTTCCAAGTCTTTCCTCCAAGAAACAGAGASAAGATGGGCCCAAGGGACAGAGAAATTACTTTTATTAAAAACATTTTAAAAGATTACTTATAAAATGCATTGTGTTCTGCATTTGCAAACAATTCAGGAACATACAATTATTGAGGCATCTTACACTTTCAGAATTTCAATCCATGAAACAAGCATTAGCTAGGTAAGTATTTGCATTACACCATAGGCAACATTACTCAATTTGAAGAACGGGCTCTAGAGACTTCAACCTTCACATAGCCGTGTGTAACAGACTTCTGCAGGTAAGCAGCACACAGGTACCCCTGTAAAGATCCCTTTTGTACAGTGTCCCACTCATCTTTGAATTTCAATGTTTTGTGCCAAATACAGTACCAAAACTAAAGATAAAGAATAAATAACTTCTCAGAATTCTGAGAATAGTTATCTAATAAATAAGGATGCATTGTGAGATATCCAATGTGCAGTAACTTCTCTATGTAAAAGAAAATATGTAGAGACATCTGAATAAATACCCTTCTGTGAAGTTCAAGTAAACAATAACTCACCCTTCCAATTCCCAGATTAACACTGAAAGAAACTTAACTGTTAAACTCCACTCAAGTGCTACTAAGTGGAAGTACTTCATTTACTTGCACTAAGAGTTTCACATTTAAAAGTTGCTCTCAGACGCCTTCCAAACTTGTCATGCGATTCAGATTTTATGGAGGTCTGTTCATTTCCAAAAGTGCATTAAAATTAAGACTTAAGGCCTACTGTCATTCCAGCATACTTGGAGAAGAATTTACAGCGGGGCAGAAGGAAAGGCCACARTGACTCAAAGACTTAAATACCTACAATATCTGCAAGGCAAGGACGGCAGCCGCGTGAGAACTGTGCTGWATACTGGCATGGAAGCTACACTTCTTTCAAGTGAAGAGTTTTATTTACATTCACCTCCGTCCCTCACCACCAACTTTTTAAGTGTGAAGTAATTTCTTTTGAATATGTTATTTTTTACTGAAAGCTCTGCACAGACTTTCAGGGTCAATTTTTAGGAGCTACAAAGGAAAAAATACTCTTATATTAAAAAAAGTTTTCCACTCAATGAAATTAAATGAACGCTCGCAATATCTGGGGAAGCTTCTGTACAGCTAGGCAATGTTGGTGGAATGGTTATGTGAAGCTACAGTTCCATTTATATGGGTAACCTCAATATGGAGGAGAAAAAAAAATCTGCAGGGCAGAGAAAAGTGCTCAGTACCGACTGTCACTACCACTTACCTGGTTAGGACTGGGGTTTGTTACCAAAAGTCTACACAAGTCTTGGCCAAGTGAAGTGTCTTCATTGTAGCAAGCCAGATCTACTTGAAAAAAGAATGTATCTAGCCTTTTAAAAATGGCTGTAACTCTCTAAAGAGAGTAGAAATAGTCACCAATGTAAGTATCAATTTCTCTTTATGCATTGGCTGGATAATTAGGCACAAAAATACTTGCCCAAAATAAAATTTCCTATTTATGTTACCTCAAATCCTTGGGGTACAAACACCCTTTTTATTCCAGAACAACAACTGCAATCTCTAGCCTATGGAGACTAGGACAAGAAGCATAAACCAGAGATACGAGCCCGAAAGTACAAAAAAGAAAACTAGGTGAACTAGGTGAGCTTTCATTTACGAAAACTTCAGGAACTAAACTTAATACAGGAGGTCCTGTCTGTCCCATACTTTCTCCCTGGAAAAAAAAAAAAAAAAGGCAGGGGTGGAGGACAGGGAAAGAGGTAACATTTGTAATTGCACAAAACTGAAATTCATGTTGGTCAAATTCAAGTGAAGATGTACAGGAATAACTTTAAAGAAAATACATTAAGTTTATACAGTTTTCATACGAAGGGATTATAAATAGTGGGCGGGTATGCACTTGTTCTCTGGTAAGAACATTAGTGGTATGATAGCAGCACCTACAAGTAACATTAAATACACACCAGGGAACTTGGCTCTTGCAGACACACTAAGTAGCACTGCGCATTAGCAAGAGCTAAATTTCTTACTATGGTTTGACTGAATCAAGAGACAAGAATTTGCCACATAGTCTCGATAAAATGCTGTTATGAACAGCAGAATAATCAAGTGAATGAGTAAATCTCATTCAAGCTGCAACATGCCTTTTAGAAAGGTGCTTAAATGCTCAAATGACTCAATTTAATAAATAACTTTAAGCACAACACTGCAAGTGCTATGTGCACCCACATTGTTTCACATTCCTTAAAGTAAATATATTTAACGTGGGAATGGCTATGGCACTATAACATATTACTTGCAACCTTTGGTCACACTCCCTTTATATTTTCACTTTAAAATAAACACCTCTTCAGGATTTGCTAAGGATCCTGAATTACAGAATGTGTCTATACAAGATCAGCATTTTCACCTGACATTTCCACATCTACATAAGGGGACACTTCAGAACTTCAACATCACTCATAGCTTTAAAGTAACTTTTGGCTTTAACAAAATTTGGTGTCCAGTAGCACCTATCTGGTTTATAGAAAAGGATATGATATGGCTAAGATTAGGCTTCAGTGCCGGTGAGATTAGCATGCACTGCCATAGTGCACTGGAGAAATGGAATGCAATAAGAAAGCTTATTTTCAGTTAAAATTAGTTTTCCGTAAATGCCTATTAGGAATTTCTATAGCGCTAACTTGGAGAGGCCAAGACCCACCGACGATTCCTGCTTGGATGGCTACGCCCATCACCACTGCCAAATCAGGGTCTACAGAGGTGTTTGGTTCCTTTCCAAAGAAATCTCGAATAACTTTGCGGATTTGAGGAATCCGCGTGGAACCTCCAACTAACACAATTTCATCCACTTCTGCTTTGTGTAGGTGGCCTTCCTTCAGCACCTGCTCAATGGGCACGAGGATCTTCTCAAAAAGGTCCTTGTTCAACATCTCAAAGAGCTTCCTAGAGATTTCTGTTTCAAACAGAACTGTGACAAAGTTGCTCTGTGCTTGTGAATTGCCTCCTTCAACATTTTCCCTATCTTTTCTTACTTGTGAAGGCTTGTCTTTCAACACGGTGTTTTTGTTCAGCTCACTTTCTGGAAGATCTTTTGTAATCTTTTCTGGGAAAGTCAATGCCACTTTTATTGTGGAGGCCTCATATACAGTCAGATTTAACTTAACTGCTTCCACAGCCTGTCTGAGTCGATGTATTTCTTCTTTTCTTGATGGTAGAGCACCATACTTTTGATGGAGCTGGGCGTACAAATGCTGCAACAGCCTTTGATTAAAATCCTGACCTCCAAGCTTGTTGTTACCTAAAACATCAGAATAGCGTGCATCAGGCAACAGAAAAAAAAAAAAAAAAAAAAACCTCAGAAAGCAAAATGCATCTTTTCTTATCTAGAGGTGGTCCTCGAGCCAAAACAATGATACTAAGGCAGTAAGCATAGAGATAGAGCACACAGTGCTGGTCAGATTGATACAGTTATTACTCGCTGAAGAACACAGGGCAAATAGCCCTTTTCAAGAGTTTTATTTAGCAAGAAACGGTGTAATTTCCCCTGCACCCAGAATAGTTTTGTTACTAACAGCAGGCAGGTCGTTACTGTTAAGTCAGCGGAGCTCTTTTCTACATAGAAGAATCCAGCAAGGCAAAATTTGAGCCAGGGCCCTGTAGCTAAGTTTGTGATATTCCCTGACCCATCTTATTTTCATTTATCAGTCTTAATCCAAATTTCCCTTTGCCAGGGTAGACTCAGCACTCGTGCAGTACAGTTTCTAAGGGATGACTGCTTCAACATTTCGAGTTATTTAAGGGCTTCGTGCATTCTCGTGAAAGTTGCATGCTCCTGAAGCATACACACGTACCCTGGCAAAGGCAGAAGAGATGCAATGCAGACAGCAGGCTCTAAGCTCTATTACCAGACACATCTTCTCTCAGCCATTAGAGACCAAGTACCATCCATTCCCAGTTTCTTCTGGAAGGATATTCCCAAACAGCCTTCCCAATAGCTTTTAAATAATTACTCTTGCTTTTCTTTCAAACCTAGAAACAGCCTATACATTTTCATCCATGTTGAACAAAATTCTCCATTTTCTTCCTTTTTGTTTTGATTGAAAGCATGAACTCTGTTTAGTGGACACCCATCCAAATAAGCCTGAATGCAGCTGTTAAATGCTTCTTGGTGCCCCACTCTCACTGGGCAAAGCAGCAGCCCACATAAAAMTCATTCACTCGAGGCAAAGGAGAAGGAAGCGCCACCTCTCAGAGCTGCCTGAACCCAGGTCACCTGCAGAGCAGCTGTGTAACTCCCACAGTGCGACCAGAGGCTGCTGCCAGGGCTCGCTGCCAAGCGAGGCATCCCTTCAGCACACACCTATTGCAGACCTCGACCAGACCCCTGCCCACCCGAGCAGAGCAAGGCAAGGATGTCTAAAAACTCTCCTGTGACTTGGTTGATACTCTCAGCTCAGATACACAAAGGTGGTGGAAGGCTTTGTTATATCCCCTCCTCACCCTCTCAAACTAATCTAGTTCAGTCAAAGTATTTTTAAACACATGCTATCATTTACCCTAGGCATAAACATCAGCAGCAAAGGGCAAGATTAAATCCCACAGAATCCCAGSATGGTTGAGGTTGGAAGGGACCTCTAGAGATCATCTAGTCCAACCCCWGCTCCAGCAGGGACAMCCAGGGCACGGGGCACAGGGCAGCATCCAGGTGGGTCTGGAAGATCTCCAGTAAATTACACTGTTACTTTGGAGTCCTCCAAAACCTGAGCATCTCTCAACTACAGCACACAGCCGCAAACCTAACTTTCCATAAGGGCAGCAGAGAACTTCTGAGGAGCACCTTGTCACAAGAAGAGTGTGTTTAAAGAARGCTTCCTTAATGGTGACTTCAGGAGCAACGCTCCACCCGCCTGCTGAGAAAGCCAAGCTTTATCCTTACCTGCCATGGCTCGCGTGAGGAACATCCCTCCCTGCTTGTTCAACAGGGAAACGTCTAACGTTCCCCCACCCAAATCCACCACCAGCACATTAAACACGTCAGCTTTGTGGAGGCCGTAGGCCATTGCTGCAGCAGTCGGTTCATTTATCACACGCAGAATTTCTAGCCCTAGAAGAGCAAAGAAATCAAGCCAGGGTCACATTCAATTCATACAGATACCACTAATGTTCAATCAAGTTTACCTCTAGTAAAATATCAGATTTAAATGAGACAGTTCACAAAGTATTATGCTTGGAAAGTTTCTTTTTCTTTCTTATCTAAGTCTTATCAACTGCATCTCTTGCAATCCAAGAGTTCTTTGCTGTCCTTCACAATAGCTAGTAGTCTATAAAAATCAGTATCACAGTTTTCTGCAGGTGACTGTTTAATTCTGTATCAGTCCCAAAGATTTTGCTGTAGCCAAATAAACCTTACGATAACTTTGGGCTTAACGGGAAAACACTGGAATAAAGAGACATCACCTGCAAGGTTAGCTGCCTTGATGGTAGAATTGCGCTGCTTTTCATCAAACTCTGCTGGTACAGAGATGACTGCCTTGGAAACAGGCACACCAAGAGAGCCTTCGGCCATTCTCTTCAGCCTCAGGAGCAGCCGAGAGCCAATATACTCTGGAGTGACGTGAAAGGTTGTGTTGGTTGTCACAGAAAATTCAGCCATTCCATTGTTGTTTAAAATCTGGAAGGAAATGTGAAATCGGTGGTTTTGTTTTGTTATTAAAAAACAAACAAAAATCCTTGCTCCTGCCCTCCACTCACAAAAGCTGTATTTGTATACAGCCTGCCAATGTACTCTGCCACTCCAAACCCACTTTGCTGGAAACGCTTTTATTTCTTGATTGCGAGTAGCATGCAAAAACATTTGARTGTCGGAATATATCCGTAGGATTGTAGCCTGCTGTGCCCAGATACATTAAAAATAATGACAAATCTGGCAACTATGCAATTAACTTCAACATCACGCATGACAAGACCACAGTCAAAAACGGAGGAAATGCTTTTCCTGGTTAGGGTCACTCCACTGATAAAGCATTCTTTCATAAAGAAAGCACACGAGCTAGTACAAGAACAGTTGTCAACAAGCAAGGTCTCTGAGAGACCTGTAGCCGGGTTCCAGTACCTGGGAATCTGAAAGTAAATTTTCAGCAAATACTGCACCATGCTAAATTTATGCAATAAATTATTTAAAAAGCAGGTTTCAACATCTGCCAGTGGTCTGCTTAGCACTAGAAAAAGTACCAGAGGGGGGAAAAATACACTGGAAAACAGGAGTCATGATTGGCTTTATTTTTTGTTTCAGTCTCAGGGCAAAGTAATGTTTCGGTGAAGCTAAGCTAGATTTTCAMAGTGAAGCTTATATTAAGAGAAATGCCTGAGAGGTTGCCCAGAAAAATATCTCACAGTAGAGGAAACTGCCYCTGGAAATGTCACTATCAACTCTCAAGCAGAAATTTCCTGCTTCTACAGCTTTGTTTCCTCCTCTCCTCCCTGGATGTTCAAACTGCATCTTATGCTTTTCAGGCAAATCAGATTTTGCTGAATGATTCAAAGGGTCAGAAAAGCTGGTCGACCATTACATGCTTCAAACTTTCTACTGATCATTGCTAAAGGAACAGAGCASTTTACCTTAAATGGATACCTGCTACTTTCACTTTTCAGTTCATCTGGAGTGAAGATTTTCCCAATGAATCTTTTGGCATCATATATAGTGTTCTGTGGATTTGAATCGGCCAGCTCCAGGCCATCGTAGCCCACATAGACCTCTCTGTCCGTGAAAGACACTATGCTTGGAATGCTGTTGTGCCCGTTTTCGTCCACAATAACCCTCACTTGCCCCGTTCCTGGGAGGAAGACGCCAACAGAGCAGTAAGTCGTGCCGAGATCAATCCCAATGACTTTTGGCGTTGGCATTGGCAAATACTGCTGTGCTAGGTAGCCAGCCAACAGGAGCGCCAGAACTGCCGAGCCTGAAACACGGGAATCAAAAACAAATGAATAACCAAACACTGCAGGAAAAGCACAGGGGGTGAGAGTAGCTACTGATGCAAACTCAGATGTCAGAGCAAACAACATCAGCTTGTATTTCGCAGCTCGTGTGGAATTATTTTGCTGTGCGAACCCTGACCAGCCACCTGTGTGGTTCCCAGGTTCTTCAGAGGTTGTCTGCAAGCTCAGGGTCTCTGAACCACCCCCTTACAAACCACTGCTGAGCAGTTACCAGCCCGGCGGGCAGTGACGAAACTCTCAGGCATTCAAGGCTCATAAAAAGAGGCACAACACAAGGCAGAGTATCAACACCTTGCCCTAATTGTTTTCCTATCCGCAAAGCACTTCACAAATATAGGTTAATTGCCAATTTCCCGGGGACCGCCTACGAGCAGCCCCTAAGGGAGAGCTGGCTAATGCGGTCACGCAAAACCAGGGGGGTGAAACGAGGACCCCCTCCCCATTAAAACTCCTCCTCGGCGCTCACTCGAAGCCTCAAAAGAAGGGGGCAGCAGGCCCCAACTCTGCCCACCGCACCCCGAGGGGCGCCCTCCGCCCCCGGGCACCCTCCCCGCTCACGGGCACCGCGACGCCGACCCCTCCAAGCGCACGGGCAGAGTTTCGAGCAGGCCGGGCAGGGCCCCGGCGGCCCCTCCCGCCACCGCGAGCCGCCCACGGGCGCGCGGAGCCCGCCAAGGCCGCGCTCACCCAGCACCGCCATCTGCCCGGCCATGGCGCACCGCGGACCGGCCAGCGCCGGCTGCTGACGGAGCCTTCCGGCCGCGCGGCACGCCGGGACCTGCAGTGCGCGAGCTCCACCCACAACAACAGCCTCTACCTGCCTCCTGTAGCAAGRAAACTACAATGCCCAGCAGGCCGCGGACCACGCCTTTTTCCGGGTGCGCTCAGCCAATCGGCTGAAAGCACGGGTCTCAGGTGCTGCGGGAGGGTGAGGGAGATGCGCGGCAGTCCTCCGGCCACGCGTGCGCAGTGGCGGCGCGCCATGCCTGCCGGGAGCTGTAGTTCCGCTCGTTGTGCCCGGCCGTGGCGTCCGGGTGGCGCCAGGGGGCGCAGCCGTTGCGGCCGCTCGGGCAGCGAGCGCCGCCCGTCCCTTTCCTTGTGATTATGGAATATTCCTTTTTTTTTTTTTTTTTTTTTTTTTT